TTAATAATATTCCTAAAAGCTTGATAAATGATCGAGCATAATGGCGTCTTGCAATCCATGTAGCCGACCCCACCTAGTGGGATAAAGGCTTGTTGTTGTTGTTGTATTATCTAATCCTTTTATCGTGTGAGACTTTGATTCTCTGTAGATATTTAGTATAATCTTGTATCGCGTAAATCAATAAGGTTTTGCAGATATGAGAGTAAAACTTATATGTTAATATGGGTTCTAAAGGCCCATCATTAAAGTAACTCTCTTTTTATAATCTAAATTAATAATTTATTTAAGTTTCATGTGATATTTCAATAATCTTCATAGAAACTTAAATTGATCATATCATCGTGTGGGATAATAAGTCCTCACAGATATAGGGTTCTCAATTTTTATAATAAATAAATAATTTTTGTAAATAATGATATAATACATAATTTAGAAAAATTAATTAATCAAATTAATGTATTTAAATTATAATCATATTTACTAATTATATCTTTTAGTCATGTGAGATTTTTGAATCTCTGTAGAATTCTAAGATAATCGTATTATCGTATGAGTCAATAAGAGTCTGCAGATATAATGATTAAGTTTTTAAAATATATATATATATAAATTATATATTAAATTAATTAAATTAAAGATATATTTAAATAAATTTAATTTCTTTATCGTGTGAAATTTTGAAATCTCTACAGATATTAGGATAATCATATTACCATATAAGTCATAAGGCTTTGCAAATAGGACGATTAAGAGTCTTTAAAACTTATATATACACATTTAAAATATATTATTAACATTTAAAAATATACATAAAAATATAAATAAATAAATTAAGTTGTTGAATTCTTTTATTGTGTAGATTTCAGAATCTCTGCAGATATTTAAAATAATTATATTACGATATGAACCAATAAGGTTCTGTAGGTATAGCGATTAAATTCCCAATCATATATAAAAACATAATTTTAAACCCTTTTCTTTTCTTTATTTCAAAAATTAAAAAAAAAATAATTAAAATTAAATTACTTTTTACAATTTAAAACACACATACCAAAATTTTAGAAATTATTTTATTTGTAAAATAATAAATTATTTATAATTAATTTCTCTTCAAAAAGATATTTTCACTTATAATTTTTAAGCTCGAACTATGTGAACTTTAATCTCTATCGTAGGGTATGTAGGTCTCAGAGTTGAATTCTGAGTCAAGTCCTCTTTTGTAAATAAATAAATATTTTTTACTTAATTCTTATCCTTTTTTAAGCACATGAATATAAAAGGGATAATTAAAATAATTATAAAACTATATTAATAGAGCATAACAAATTTTAAGTAACCGTTAATAAGTGTTGTGAGGTGCTTAACATCTTCCCTACACTCAATCGACTCCCGAACCTATTTTTTGTTTCCGCAGACCATCCTTATTCTTTTTTAATTGGTTTTCCAAGATTTTTTTCAAAATGTTGATGGCGACTTTGTTCCATTTGGTTTCTATCCCAAAAGTCGGAACCTCCACTCGCGCACCGTCCACATCACATTTTCTAGGTGTGACAATGGTAATTGCCACAATTTTTCTCCTTCATTAGCCACGATCTAAATAGTGGAAATGATAATTTCCCACAGTTCTTGAAAACCGTGGGAATATTTATCATGAGAAATGATTTCCCATGGTTTTGTCAAAAACCATGGAAAGAGCCACGATTGTGTCAAAACCATGGTTGTCTCCATGTCAAATCATGGCTTTTAAATAAACCATGAGAAATAAGGACATAAAATTAAAAAAATATTTTGATATCACTATATGCTATAATAAAATTGTCTACATGTAATGAAAAAAATCCACAATCCAATTAATATTTTAATTAGTTCAGAAAATTAAAATTTAATCCCACATAATTGATTATGTGCTGGTTTTATGATTCTGTAGCCAATGATTTAATTAACTCACTCCAAACAAATTAATTTAATCTGATGAGAAATTTAATTAATTTAAGAAGCATTGATTAATAATAAAAATGAGTAAATTTATTAAAATTTGATCCATAATTTACTTGGTCATATATACATATTGGCAAAACTGAAGATCGTATATTACATTAAAATTAGTTACCAGAATACAAATGAAATTATCGAAACATCTAGCCAAATGATGATAATTAAAAACATACAAATACAAAAAACACAAACTAAAGGACACCACCAACAATACGAGAATCCTGCTACTGAGAGTTCTTTGGAAGGACTAAGAAATTTGTTTTTTCAAACCTAAAAAAATAGTTAGAATGATAAAAACAGAATAAATATAACCAAATTTATATCTGGGTGGGAAATCAAAGAAAATGAAAGAACAATAATTTTCAAACACCCCACTGAAGCTTGCATTTTGGAGAGTTATAAATTATTGAAGAAAGAGAAAAAATTGCATCTCTAGTTTGCTATGCAAAAACTATGCACAACATATAAAAGAGGGAAAATCCTTAAAGAAGTGGCAATGTTTTTTAACTCTACACAGTATACCTTCAACTTCAAGAACAGGAAAGACAAATATTAAAGAAATATATCAGAAAGATAAAAGTACAGAAGAAATATACCAGAGGATGAAGAAGAAGAAAGGTGGATGAAAGAAGTTTTACCAGATGAAGGAGCAGAAAAAATAAAATAGAGAAGAAATATATCCAATGTAATGAAAAGATGAAACACAAATGAAGAAGTTTCAGAAGATAAAGAGGTAGAACTTTGGTAAAATGAAAATAGAGGCTAAGCGTTGGTAGCGAGAATAATCTGGTGAGCACTTGAGTGCCAATGGAAAAATGAGGGAGAAGATTTGGAGCAAATGCAAAAACAAAAGAGCAAGTACAAATTAAAGCTGAGGAGAGAAAGAGAAATATATGGGATGTTCCTGCGGTTTTGTCAGAAACCATGGGAAAATCTTCTGACAAAAGAAGATATTTTCCCACAATTTCTCTCAACATAGTACATTTTTTTAAAAAAATTACTTTTTCCATGATTTTCAATTTAAACCATGCAAAGAGCCATGGTTTATAAAAACTGTGGAAAATGCATGGTTTTTTAGTAGTGTTCTTGGCTCTCTGAATCTTGCAAATGCTGCCTCCCGGTCTTCTTCACTCCTATGCCCTCTTTCATTTTTGTTTTTAATCTAAATAACTCCATATTCTTAGCGAATCTAAGCATCTTTGGTTAGGATTTTCCAACAAAGCCTCGTTTCCTCTATAGTCAGTCTAGTGGTGGTCTAATTTGCCTTTTCATAAATTTCATTGACTATCTCTCTTAAGTCTTACCCACTCTTGATTGTTTTCCCTTTCTGCGATTCCACCACTGCAAGAAATAGAGCTTCATGATTTGTTTAACAACACCAATCACGTTGCATCGCAACAATAGTCAAGGGTCGTGCTTGACAAATCATTTAACTTATTAAGATTGGCCATGCCCTTGGAGGTCAAGCGCAAAACAAGTGAAACCCATTGAGCAAGGAAGATTGGAGTGGTTTGGAGATGATGGCCATGCCTGTAGACCATGAAGACGACTATGCCTCAAGGATCATGGTTGGAGTCGATCCAGGCTTCGACCTTGACCATGGTGACTTCTTTAGCCTTAGGGAAATAAGAAAGCCAAGCTCGAGCCATGGTTTCCCATCCTTTGCTTTGGTCAATTTGGTTCTAAAAGACGACAACGAAGATGAAGAATGAGAAGGAAGGAGACAGTGGCACAATGGAGCAATGGTTAATGCTTAGTCAACAAGGAAAAAGATAGGTGTATTTAATAGCAAAGCAATATTGCACGATTTTAAAAAGTTCTAAGGTGATATTGCTCTTAAAAAAAGTTTAGAATATCAAGAGTCTTTTGGGAGAAAAGTTTTAGAACATTTTTACCCTTTTTTTTACTAAAATAATTAAGACATCATTTAGATTGGTGGATTTGAATTTAGGTTTTACATTTAAAATATTACATTTCAACATTTGAAAATTTATGTATTTAAAATTATTTATTTGGGTATTTTAAAAAATTTTAAATGAAAAAGAGAGATGACCTGAAATTTGAAATAAAAATGAAAAATTTAAAATGACGAATTTATTTATATTGATAATTAATAAGAGAAGAAAAAATATACAAGATTCATAAAAGTAATAATATTGAAAACATAAAAAGAACAAGGTGTTTAAAGTAATTAAAATTTTAAATAATTAGGGTGTAAACAGAATTTGTAATCGCAAATGAATTATAATTAGAAATAAATTTGGATTTGAACTAAATCTAAATTCATAAATCTTTGTGTATCCAAATAACAGATTTGATTCAAATGTAAATCTTCATTAATCCAAACACGCCATAAGAGAATATATAACTAACTAATAATTAAAATATGAGTGTATAAGATATTAAAAAAAATGTGGGTGTATGAGGGACATCACGTCTTGGATAAATTAATTAAGTTTTAAATTAAGAAATAAATTTAATTAACTAGGCATATTTAAAAAAGGTAAAATAAAAGTGAATTTAATCAAATCAAATCAAACCAAAATAAATTGGGTTGAAATTTGAATCATTTGAATGCATGCATCAAATATTTATTTAGAACTTTTTCAAAAATTAACGATAAATACGCTTATCAATTAGATGATTCTTTAAGAGAAAAGAGTTTAAAGTGGGTTAAAATCCTATAGAAATTAAAACCTGCGCACATAAGGATGCCGAATACTTGTGTTCACTAGCCAATTGATCAAAGGATGCATGCATCTCGTCAAAGGTGAAAAAAAGTGAGCGAGTGTATGTTTTTAATATAACACGTATCATTCTGTTCTGAGCCTTTGATTGGATTGGAGATTTGAAAATGACCATCCAGTCTTCCTCCTCGATCGTACTGAGTTTAATCCTCATCATATTAAAACCACGCAATATATCCCTATCAGCTCGTAAATCGTCCAAAGCACAAACACGAAGAATCACAGCACATCATATAAGATACCATTCAACACCTTTATCATAAAACTTCAAAATTCTGATCAGTTTTGCAAATATAGAAGAAGAATAAGAAAAACAGAACAATATCGGAAGGGTTTCCTTCTCTTCTGGGACCCAACACGAATCTAATATCGTCTGTGTGCCAGAAACCACATAAACTGTATTTTAATTCCACCTCAATATCTCTCGAGCTAGCTATACCGACTCAAAATCATCAGTGCCTAAAAAAAGAAGCCTTAATTAATTCTGTGAGCTGATCAAAACCAGACAGAGTCAGAATTTTCTAACTGCTGATCATTGATCATATAATCAGGCCGCTGGAAAGGCCACGCTCTCTGGAGTTTCATGCACAGAATAATATCTCCTGCGAGGCACATGTGCCCTTCGCCAATATGCTTCACGAGGCCAAAGCGATCTTCAATCGTACAGTAAGGTATCTTCGGTAAGGGCACTCTAGCCCTACCCACGATCACCGACCCGGAGGAGGGTCCCGGGTCGGTGTCGGAGCACAACCTAGCGACCTCCACGTGGAGGAAGCCCCAGTTTTCAGGAGCATAGTCAAGTACCGGAAGGAAATCAAGCTCCTCCCAGACCGGGTTGTTCCGCGAGGGTTGAACCGGCCGAGTGTGAAACACCTTGTCCGGTTCGATCCAGTACAGCACGCAGTAACACCTTCCGGCCGTGACCACCGGGTCGACGTCGTCGATGCCGACGGCTCCGCGAATGCCCAGGGCTAGTTCCATTGGGAGGCGCGGGTAGAGATCGTCTTTTTCTGATTTCTTCTTTTTACAGCTCCTGCTTTCTGGTTCTTGGTCTTCTTTGTTGTCGTCGTTTACGGCCACGTCGTGCTCTCGGAGTCTGTGGATCTCCATTGGGATCTGCGAGAAGATACACGCTCTGGGCTTCTTTTTGTTTCTGTTGGATCATGAATTAGGGCAGAGAGGAAGGAATAAAATCTGCAAGACTCAGAAGATCAGAGGATCAAGATTTCAGAGAAAGTATAGCACCTGAGGGGATTAAAGGGGACACCGAATCAGGAGAGAAGAAGATTCTGCGACGTTGGCCAAACACGAAAAAGGTGGGTGGCGCTCCCTCTCGCTCTCTTATAATAATAATTAATAATCTCCCGGTGATTTTGTTGGATTAGGATTTTATATTAGATATCAAGACTTGGATAGTTGAGGTTTTGTTGACAACAATGTATCCAAATCTTCAATCTCAACATACACAACCCCTTGACATAAATTGACTTCCAATGAATCTTGGCTTAGCCGGGGAAAAGTTCTACGGTGACTAGAATTTTTTTTTTTTTTTGCCCCACAATCTTTAATTTTTGTTTTCCCTTTCAAGGAATGAATATGAACGCGGCGGCATGAAAATTTCAAGGAAATATCAGAGCATACGGGTAGGGTAACATGTATGAGACGGCCCAAAAATGCTGAAATCCAATTATAAAAGGTTCATAATAAGGTGCTGGTACGGCCCAGGTCAGTTATCCAACCTTCAACTAACAATCGAAATTGTTAAGATGCACTATTATTTTGTTACAAAAAACAAGCACAATTGATATTAATTGTTGTATGCTAAAATTTGAATATTGAAGAACAAAACTGGTTTTATTTCCTTTTTATGTGACAATTTTGGCATCCAAAGTTATGAAATGATGTATTTTACGTTAATTTGATGATAAGCTCCGTGAAGGGATTGAGAAACATGTATAAAAGACACATAAAAAAATAGCGCTTGTATTTGCATGGGTGTGCCATGAAGCCGCATTTGTGCAGTGAAACACAGCCTTATAATAAATTAAATGTATCCGAGTAGTAATTGAGGAAACTAATTATTATTACAGAATTCATGTTAATGTTTGGTTATTTAGATTTGCTTAATCTAGAACAAATATGATTTGTTTATTTTTTTTTCATGCAGTGAATTCTATTTACCTCTAAATTCAGGAAGCCAAAAAAAAATAAAAATGAAAGAGAGATAAAGAAGAAACGAAGAAAGAAAGTAACTAGGTTAGTAACTATGATTAAGATAATTAGATATTATTATTTCATAGTTAACAAAATAATTAATTATTTATATATATCTAAATACTGCTTGTGATGATTTTAAAGAAATATCCAAGTATACAAGTAGGTAGAATTTATAGATAGTGACAGTGTAAAGGCATCCCCAGGAGTCAGTAAGGTCTACACAATTTATCTAGCCGTCAACTAATAATCCAAAATTTCAAGATATATTATTTTGTTATCAAAAAAACAATTACAATTGATGTTAATTGTTCTATACCATGATGAATAATCGAGTTACATTATTTTTTTTGATCAAATAATCAAGTTACATTATTTAAGGAACCAAGTTCATCGCTTATCATACATATAAGTACGGAGAGCTCATCTCGTTTAAATTGTTAAGATATAATTTGAATGGTTCATATTTATAATTTTTCAATGGGTATTTTTAAATAAAAATTATTTTTTAATAAAATTAATAATTAAGAGATTGTCTTTATTTTAGATTCTGTATTTATTAAAATAATTTTTTAAAAAAAAAAGTAAAAAGCTATAAATCCAAACCTTTTAAATTAAGTTTGAATGGTCTAAAAGTGATGAGCTCTCCATGTTTATTTGTACATGAGCACTACATTAAAACTAGTTTTTAAGATATTTGAGATACATCTATCAATCAAAAGGCATCTCATTCTGCGAAAAGAATCACCATATATTATCTTATCGAATAGGTTTAAAATTCCCTTGAAGAAGAAAGTGGAGATATCATAAGAGAGGGAATCTATACCATGATCTTATTGGCGTCAAAGACATTCTTTGTGGCTTTTCGGCGAAGTTCTGTTTGTGTGTTAAAAAATGGCTTTCATCTTTCCCCCCTTAATTTTTCATAGGAGAAAGAGATATATATACCTATAATATATCCTATTGCTGTCTAAATATATCTGTCCGTACTTCTTCAACTGTGAAACTCGATCAAGTAGGAAGAGCTCGTGGCCAGGGAAAAAGAAATAACGAGAAAAAGAACCAGCACAATGATAAACATTCATAATAACTATCTGATTTTTTATTTTTATTTTTGCATGCACAGGTGAAAAAAATCATGCGCGATGCAAATATCAAGAGGAATTCTAGTTCATTTCTCAAAGATCTTTCGAGGCTGTAACTTTGTAATCGAGTTCAGATCCACGCACAACTTTGAGGGACGATTCGTTAGCTTTTGGTATGGAGAATTTCAGTTAATAATCATTGTACAGAGTTTAATTTTACGTAGGTCTAACAAAATTTTAAAATTTTAATTCAACCTATGGGTGAAAAGTTAAAAGAACTTTAACAATGAAATGACCAAATACCCTTCACTTGTTATGCAAAATCATTATTTATTAATTTTCTTATTATATTTGTTAATTTATTAATATCACTTGTAAATTCTATCTATTTGTTAAACAATCAGTAACATTAATAGTTAATTTACTAATATTAGTTGTAAATTACAAACTTATAATAATTTGTAATTAATGTTAGTAAATTACAAGATCTATTAATAATTTACAACTGATATTGTTGCTCATGATTTGAAAAATTGATGTCGAATCTTATAAATTATTAACATATCAACTCATATAATTTATAATTTATATTCATAAATTAATAGGTGAAATAAGAAAATTAATAATTAATAATTTGTACAACAAATGAAGAGTATTTTAATTTTTTTTACTATTAAACTCATCTAAAATTAAGTTTTACATAAATCCTTAACTAAAATTCTTCCTTTTGGTATTGTGAGATTTGAAGTTGCCATACTAGGAGAATGGAGATACCAGTGTATGGGAAATACAATATTAAGAACAATCCCTTGTAGATACGACATCCAACAAAGTTCAAGCGTCATAAAATTGGCTAAATTTTATTACTATTTTAGTTTATGTATATATTTTTTAATATGAAGAATTAAATGAAACTTTATTAGTTTTGAAAAGTTTGTAACCATCGAAAATAAATTATTTATGAAAGATTAATCAAATATTTTTTATAATTTTGACCCGATTATAATTTAATTTTTTAAATATTGACTTATTCTAATTCGATCCTTATAGTTTTAACTTGGTTATAACTTAATTCTTAAATTTTACTCCTTGCAACTCATCCCTATAGTTAACCATTTAAATATTAGTCTCTATATTTTAAAAAATAAAATTATAAAAATAAAAAATATTTTAAAATTTTAACTTTTATAATCTTTATAAAGATTAAAAGAGTTTAATAATTTAAAATATTAGTCCTAAATTTTAACAAAATTTAAATCTTTATAATTTAATTTTTAAAATATAAGATTATATTTAAATAGTTAAATTCTAAAGGTTGAGTTGTAAAAATTTTAAAAATTGAATTGTAAGAGAGTCAAAAATATAAAAATTAATTTACAATAAGTCAAAATTCAGGGATTAAGTTATAAAATGATTAATTTTTTTCAATTATTTATAACATACAAATTGATTCCCAAATAGCTTGGCACCTTTAAATTAATGAATTAACTACTTGCAAGGATCTATTTCGCCGAAAAAATAATTAACTTAATGAGGGAGAGACATTGCCGTTATTATTATTTTTTCAAGACAAAAAAAAAAAAGATTTGTGTGTTTTTATATAAAACAGTATGAATCGAACAATACTTTGACATTAATTTGGGCCTTAAGAAAATGGCAAAATTCCCAGACCCACACCCGATCACCCTATCGTTGAATGCAGACGCAACAAGGCCCTGTCCCGCAACATTGGATATACTGATATAGGAAGTTTCCGATGACATAGGAGTCAAATTTGAAAATATAAAACATTTTTATATTTTTTAGAAATAATTAATGAGATCTTCAGAAATATTCTTAATGAATATTTGAAATTAATAATTTTTTCTGTAATCATTGTGATATAGCTGTAATATTAAATAAAATAAATATAAAAATATATAATTTTTAATGACATTACTGTTTTTCTAAAGTAGAAACTAGCCAAAAATATCTTATAATTTTAGATTGTAGGAGTAAAAAATAAAAATAAAAATAAAAAAGAATATAGATAATTATAAAAAATAACATCATTGTATGTATATTTTAAATGTGTAAAAGATAATTTTAACATGATCCAACAGAGCCTAATGAAGTCAAACCCGCAAAACATCAAATTCGGTTTCCAAACCCACTAAAACATCATATTTCGTTTCAGTGCTCATCACTTAAGAAAGATCTAAGCCATTTACATAAAAAATTTAGACGGTCCAGAATTTTTTAATTTTAATTTTAATTTTATATTTATAAAAAAGTTTATAATTTTTTCAATTTCAATTTCAATTTTATATTTATAAATATGTTTATCATCAATCTAAACTGTACTAATTTAATTTAAATGATTCAATTTAATGTTATAATTTTTATAAATTGATTATCTAGATATGCTCTCGACAGTCAAAATTTAATATTAAATTTTTATTTACAAGGTTTAAATTTCAAGTTTTTATTTTTATTTTATTTTTATTTTATATTTATTAAAATAAAAAAATTAATATTAATTTGTCTTATCTAAAGTACATATAGATAGTTAGTTTATAAAAATTATAATATTAAATTAAAAAATCTAGAATCTCAGATTAAATTAATTTATCCGGATTAATGATAAATATATTTATAAAAAATTGATAAATTTCTTTTACCAGCTTATAAATTTTATTTTTATAAAATACAAAATTGAAATTAAAACTGAAAAAATCTGGACGCCCAGATCTTCCTTGGATGATGAAACCGGATCCCTAAAACATTAGATAATCTGGATGGTCCAGATCTTCCCAGGCTGATGAAACCGGATCCCAAAAACATCAGACCAAACGGATTGTCTCGAACAACGAATAGGACCCAATTTTTTGTGAACCCATCAGTTTGGTCCGGTTCCGTTTTCTTTGAAGTGCACTGGTTATCGGCAACAGCACCAAAAACACAACACTGGCAAGTTTCGAAGTCAGAGTTTCCAACGCGCTCAGCAGCATCTGCTATTGAAAGGCTTCAATTTCAAGGACGCTTGCAGCTCTCAAGGTCAGAAATGGTGTCCAAATCTCCAAAGAAAGCCAATCTCTTAGATCTTCATTCCATCAAGAACATCCTCGACGAGTCTGTCTCTGAGGTCCACTTAACCCTAACATTCCTCTCGCCATTTCGGATCTCATCCATGTTCATGACTTTCTTATGTTTATTCTTCGGATTCTTCTTTGAGTTGAGTGATTGGATTTTGCGTTCTTCATTTTTCTCTTTGTTTAGATTGTTAAGAGTCGTGGCTATGTGGAAGACGTGAGGTTGAGCAACGTTAGACTCTTCCTTGGAACGATCATAATTATCATTGCTCTGTTCGCCCAGTTTTACAAGAAGAAATTCCCTGAGAACCGGGATTTCCTCATTGCCTGCATCGTGTTATATCCTTTCCCTGGTTTAATTATATATTTATATGTATGCATCTTTTTTTATTTACTTGATAAACAACCTGACGAGGAGAACAATTGATCCTGGCTATGTTGTTTTGGATGAAGGAAATTTGAAAAGGGGAAGACTTACGGATTTACCTTTTGTTTTAAGAGGGGGAAAGGTCTTTCTCTGAGCTTTTATTTTTGTTGTGCTTTCTTGGGGGTAAATTGCCAGTGGGAAATATGGAATCGAGTTCTTGGAAGTTGAAAAATTGTGGGGTGCATAAACACGTGAGAGTTTAAGGTACAGGCATCGATTGGCATTTTGTTTATGCTTCTTCAGCGGGGTCAGTGTTTGATCCTTGACTCTGGCAAGTATGTAGTCTTCAATGCCTTGTTGCAGCTGATCATATACACCAAGGAGAAGAATGCCATTCTGTTTACTTATCCTCCTGCTGTAAGTTTCTCACAATTCAGAAAAAGCACTGGCTTTGAAACTATAAATTCCCTTTTATATATATGGAGACTGGGGAATAGATGATATGCTGTGTATTTGTTTTGCCACTGTTCTGGATGAAACCATCTTCTGTAACTTGTTATATTCTAGATATTCCATCTATTTCCCCGCAGTTTTGATACTTGTATATGGGTACCTCCTCCTTAGGTGTTGAATTTGGGAATTCTATTTTATAGTATCTATGTTAGAAATATGTATAATTTTTATCCTGCATTCGTCTGCATAATGGTGATGTTGTGACTTGTGTCCCTCCCCTTAGGCACACACACACACATATGGGTAACTCCCCTTAGGTGTGGACTGCCAGAATACATGGTGATGTTGATATAACCCTTCATTTCGATTGAAAAATACTAAATTTGATTGATATTTAAATCAGAAAAAACAAAGTTTATCTGCTGTACCACCCCTCCGTTTATGCATAACTTTTGTTTTTGCTTTTTTATTTTTGTGGCCAGCTTTGTTTATACATAACTATTTGTAGTTTCATCCTTAGAAACAAAAGATTGGGATTATATTTGTGCGCATAGAGGGGAATGCCTTTGTTGGGTTGGATGAATGTGTATCATGTTTTCTTCTTGCTCTCCACTGTGATCAGTGGAAGTGATGTCCAAGGCGTGAGTTTTTTTGGGCATCAGGATCCATTTGCAAGGTATGGTGCTTGAGTCCCACATTAGAAGTATGGTATTCAACTCAAATGTGGGATTTATATGGACCTTTGGCTCCCCAACCTCCTAGGTCTACTTTTCAGGTATGGTTCCCCAAAAGGCTCCAGCCGATTGATGTCAACTATCATATAGTCCCTCTATGACCTAGTTGCAATCATGCAGCATGATTACAGGGCTTGAGAGGATATTAGCACCCAGTTGGAAGGTACGGGACTTGAGCCCCATATTGGAAGTTTGGGGTTGGCGATGTAAAACGGGAAGGGAAATAAGAGAAAAGGGGAGGAGAGAGAAAGAAGAAGGGGGTTGGCCGGAACTTTCGGAATTTCTATTCAATCGTACTCAAAACTGAATACAAATAAAAATCCTAACTTTATATATAGAGTTCTCAAATGATAAAATAATAATAAAATAATACATTTAAATCTAAATCCTTAATCTAATTTAAAAAGATATTGATAGGATGATTATATCCTATCTTATTAAACATAAACAAA